GGGGCGCGAGGGGGACGAGAAGGGGGCGGGAGAGGGGGGGGGGAGGGGGGGAGGGGGGGGGGGGTGGGGGGACGGGGTGTGTGGGGGGGAGGGAGAGAGAGAAAGAGAGAGAGAGGAAAAGAGAGGGGGGAGAGAAAGAGAGAGAGACAGAGAGAGAGGAGAGAAAGACAGAGAGAGAATCAACATAGTTTAGGAGGGGTACAAGTCCAAGTCCAAGGGGCCTGGTAAGGTCAAGGCTCTTGCCCAGGATTAACACTAAGTCAGTCGCTGCTAGATGCCTCATCCCTGGCCTGTGGCCCTTAGAGAAGAGAGAGCCCAGGGAATCACAGAACACCAGAAGCAGCAGGATTGCACTGCCCACCTCTGAATCCTGACCATGTCCTGAGCCCTGTGGCCTCCAGGCTTTATATAATGGCAGCCTGGGCTCCCTTTGAGGAGAGAGGGCCAGGCTGAAGAAGAAATAGTGAAAACGGCCAGCCATCTGTCTCCAGCGCTCTCCCGTCCCCTAGTACCAGGGAGATGCACTGGGAAAGGGGCCAATCCTGGAATCAGGAGACTTGGGTTTGAGCCCTAGCTCTGACACTTATCAGTGTGACCCTGGGCAAGTCACTTCCTCTCTCCAAGCCTCTATTTCCTCCTCTGTAAAATGGGGATAGTAATCCTTGCACTCTTCCTCCCTGGCCGGGTTGCTCTGGGAAAGGTGCTTCAGGAGCCTTAATGTACTGTAGCCATGGGGTAGCCACCCTTTCCCCAGGGTGCAGCAATCCCCTCCCTGCTCCCTTTCTTGGTCTCAGATGTCTGGTGCTGGGACTGAGATCTCTTCTGCTTGTGACTTTTTGTCTCAACCCCAGAGACCACCAGAGCTAGAGCCTGGAGCTTGGCCTTACCTCAGAAATTTAGAAAAAACTTCCTTATCTTCAGCCTCCCTGACTCCCCCAAACCTCCTGATCCTCCCGTCATTCAGGGCCCCCCACTTCTGCCAGTCCACTTGCCTTTGGTTGGCTCCCCTGGACATCTTCAATGCTGCCTTGGCACCCTACATTCCTCCATCCCCTTGGCCTTCTGATCCGCAAGCAGCAGATCCATGTGACCTGGATCCAAGGCCCATGGTGTATGACTGACTGACTGACTGACTGACTGACTGAATGAATGAATGAATAAATGAATGAAAGAGCATTGATGAAGTACTTATAAGCCAAGCTCTGTGCTGAGCTCAGGGCTGAGAACAGGAGAAAAGCCAGATAACGGAACGTGAGGAGCTCCTGTTCTGATAAGGGGAGACAGGACCTGGGGGGTCATGGTTCTTCGCGTGCATCTTCTCGTGGGCCATTTCCGTTGACAGAAGCATACCTGGCATAGCCAAGTGATGGTGCCAAGGCCTTTGGTGGCGAGAACTCTCTTTATCGCCAGGGCTCGGAGTAGGCCAATTGCCAAGTGCTATCTTTACACGAGTCACTTTCCTGGACTACGGCTGAAAGCAGAGCTCGAGGTCTAGGGGCTCTGGGGATGGTGCTGGTTTCAGAGTAATAAGCCAGGATATCTAGGTTTGAGGCCTGGGCCCACTATGAATTAGCTGTGTATCTTCAGGCAAGATACTTTTCCTCTCTGGGTCATCTTTGCTCCATCCGTAAAATGGGAGGGGTTTGGACTAATTCTCAAGGTTCCTTGCTCACTGCTGTTTGGCAGAACTCTTCTGTCCTTGGGGAGTCCCTAGCCACCTTCCCATAGGGGCTCTGCTGAATCTCTTCTGCTTTCCTCGTGTGGGCCCATGGCCCACTTGCTCTCCCTCTTGACAGATGACCTTGCCTTCCCCTTCCCTAAGAAGATCGAGGCCATCTGGCCTGGCTTCTCTCAGCTATCCTGCTCTTCACATCCTGGGAGCTCAGCGTCTGCACTCATCCTCTTCTCCGAGTCTAAAGGGGGGAGGGGAGCCCTGTACCCTTCTAAGACTCCATCTGTGTCTGGGCTCTGACCCCATCCCATCCTATCTCTTCCAGGCCCCCTCCCTGCTCCCTTATTTGTCCCTGCCCAATTCGGCATCTTTAGGCCTTCCTGTCTCACTGGGCCATGCCTCTCCGCGCTAAAAAAATCAGCCTCCACACTCTCTTCCTCTCACAACCAAGCTTCTCTGTTAAAGCCCCCATTTCCTCCCCTCCACCGTGGCCCCAAAGCAGGGCTTGTTGGACTTCTCTTTCCGGCCCAGTCAGCCCCTCTCCTGACCTCCTGACCTCCTGACCTCCTCCTCCTCAGGCTCGAAGCCTCAGTACATCTTTGGTCTTTATTTCTTCTTCTCACTGCCCTTCCCTGCCCCCTCGCTTTGGCCTACCATGCTGACTAAATCCTCAATTCCTCCAGAGTCTTAGAGTCCACTTGGCAATGCCACTCACCTCTAACCCATGCCTTCTTTTCCATTCTCACTGCCTGCACCCTAGTCTGGGGCTCTACTGCCTCTTACTTGAACTATGGCACTAGCCCAGAGACAATGAGGTGGCACCACAGGGCCCAGAATGCTGGAGCTACAGCCGAGGAGATCTGAGCTCAAAATAGACCTCAGACACTTACTAGCTGGGTGACCCTGTAAGCTACTTAACTTCTGCCTGCCTCAGTTTCCTCAACTGTAAAATGGGGGTTCATAATTGCACCTACTCCCCAGTGTGATTGAGAGGATACAATAAGATCATGTTTGTAAAGTTCTTTGCAAACCTTAAAGTGTTCTAGGAATTTGTGTTGCTGTTACTGCTGGCAGTGATTGCATCACACCTTGTGGGGTATATTCTCGGTTAGTTTCCTCTGTGTGCCTTCTGGTCCTACCCAGACTCTCAGCTCCCTCAGGACCCCTCAGACACAGCTCTGAATAATATTGCATAGCTAGCATAGAAAAAGCTACTCCACACATATTTGTTGAAGGGATGAGGGGACAAGTCTGGCTGATGGGCTGTCTTTTCCAGCAGCACCTGCATTTTAAGATTGTAACCCAAAGGAGTGGGGTAATTCGGAGGCTATGGAGGAAGAAATACATATTTTTAGGGCCTTAGTCTCTGAATTGCGGTTCGAGGGGACCTCGATCAACATGAAGTCCCATTTCTTCAATGTCTCTTCCAGGTAATCATCAGCCTTCACTTGGAAATCTCAAGTGGGACAGAGCAGCCCTCTCTTGGAACTGGACACTTGGAATTGGCAGCGAGGTCTTCTTGGCATATCTGAATGATCTGTGATTTCCTGGATGTGTTTATTTCCTCTGATGGTGTACATTTCAACCCATCCTGAGCAACTCTATCCATACCCTCAGGGTTGTGGTTAAGCCTAACTCCTCTCTTCCCCTGGTCACATTTCTGAGGTGCCACATTCTGAGGTGCCACATTCTGAGGTGCCACATTTCTGAGGTGCCACATTTCTGAGGTGCCACATTCTGAGGTGCCACATTTCTGAAATGCCACATTCTGAGGTGCCACATTTCTGAGGTGCCACATTCTGAGGTACCACATTCTGAGGTACCACTGGAGCATTCAGGCTTTCATGGGAACATCTATTCAGAGATGAAAAGGACCCTAGAGATCAGTTAATCTACCCCCACCCCTGCCATTTTGCAGATGAAGAGAGGGAGGGAAATGACATGGCCAAGGTCATATGACTAGGAAGTGGTAGTGTTGGGATTTGAACACAGGGCCTCAGGACTCCACATCCAGTTGGCTTTCTACTATATCACAATGCTTCTCCCGCTTATCCCAGACTTTAGACGTATGACTACTCTATCTTGCTGCTGGGGCCTCATTTTCTCACCTTTGCCCTGTCTTCCACCATAATCCCCAGGTGGTCATGGTAAATGATCTTGGGTCCCCTGCTCCCAGATCCAAGGTTCATCCTATCATGCTCTGGGTTAGTTCATCTTTGCACTCTCAGCACTTTAACGGCTGGCACACAGTATGTATGGGATCAATGGACTGAGCTGGACTTAATTCACTGGGGAAGGGAAAGTGATGTGGTTTATTACTTGTTCTCCCTCCCTCTTCCTCTCCTACTCTGCCCTCTCTCTGTCTCTGTCTCTTTCTTTCTCCCTCTCTCTTCTCTCCTCCCCCTCTTTTCCCACCCCCTCTCTCTGATTCTCTCTGTCTTTGTCTCTCCATCTGTCTCTATCCCTCTCTGTCCCTCTGTCCTTGTCTCTGCCTCTCCCTTTCCCTCCTCTTTTTTCCTCTGCCTCTCCCTCTGTCTCTTCTTTTCTCTGTCTCTATCCCTCTCTGTCCCTCTGTCCTTGTCTCTGCCTCTCCCTTTCACTTTCCCTCTCTCTCTTCCTCCCTCTGTCTCTTTCTCTCCTTCTCCCTCCGCTTAATGAGTTGAGCAGCCCTGCCTCCCTCCGCCAATAAACAATGTTTGGGCAGCCTTTCCTCCTCCTTGGGGCCATCAGCAGCCCCGGGTGGGAGATCCTGTGGGGTGAGCGGAGCAGCAGATCTGTAACCCTGGCTTACCTGCTTGGCCCTGAGCACTGGCTCTTTGGTCTCCTAGGCATGTCTACAAAAGTCCTCCTCTGCCTTCTGTGGGCATTTTTCTCAGATGCCCTCGTGCCTGTCTGCCTGTTGAGTCTGCCAGCCATGTTTGTGCCTCTCATTGGACCCAGGCCAGCACTATTGCCTAAAGAAGCTGTCCCTGTATCAATGACCAGCTAGTGGCTGTCTGCTGGTCTTATTTTCCACGGCCATCCAGCTGCAGGCAAGGCTCTCCTAGCAGGGGTGGCCCACATTGCCATTTCCTATTCAGGGTGAGGCTGAAATTCCACAAGAAGTCATGCAGCCATGGTCAGGATGCAAATGAATTCACTAGGCCTGCTTGGGGGCAGGATGGAGGGGAAGGAGGGAATAAGACCAGAGAGATAAAGCAGGGTGGGGGGAGGGATTTAGTATGGAGAAAGCATATGGATGTCATAGTAGGCCCCTAGTTTCCTATCAGGGTTCTCTTGCTCCTCACTTCCCCCACCACCTTGTAGTGGGTATTGCCCAGGAATTCACCAAGACTCTCTTGTTTTGTCCTGAGAATGGTCCTGGAATTCAGGGGAGAGGACAGATTGGGATTTGGCAGCTACCTGAATGGAAGATCAGGCCTTGGGAGTGGATTAGACGACAGGGATGCTAGCCAGAGAAGAACAGAATTGATAAATGGCTTAGTTTTGAGGAACCTCCATGGTTAGAGGTCAGGAATAGGAAGAGAAGTCAGAGAAGAATACAGTGGTACTGCAACATGGTACTTGGTTTTCCTTAACTGTCTTTCTGGATTATAAGGGACAGCTAATCTGGGGCAGGGAAGCATATCTGGAAATGACTGTGATGGACAGCCAAAAGGCATCAATAAAATGTATTGTTGTTTTGTTTTGTTTTGTTTTGTTTTTGTTCGTTTGTTTGTTTTTTTTTTACAAAGCAGGTTGGTGGCCAGCAGTGTTAAATGCTGCAGGAAGCTCAAGGAGGTTGAAGTCCTCCCAGAGGCTGTTACTTCACCGGTGTGGCAGATTGTGAACCTCCATAACGTAGTCACTTGTCTCTGACAATGTCTAGGGCTGAACAAGTCACTTCCTATGCTGGGGGGAGGGGCCCAACATGAGGAAGAGTTTCTCAGCTTCTCTGAGTCTCTCAGCATCACTGAGCCTGGTGGCTCCTCAGGCAGCCACAGTGACGTCACTGGGCTGAACCTGAGACCTCTGCAGCTTGGTGACACGGCTATTGCAGAGCTCATGCTTTGCTCGCCAAGCCATGGAGAACCTGGGATCATTGCTCTGCTTGGACCTGCAAGATTTTCTCAAAGGCAGACGGTGGTGGATTGTTGGCCTTGATCTCTGCAAATGGGAGCAGTCCCCTGTGACTTTTGTAACCATGTTCCTTTGCCCCAGTATAGCCTTCCAAAGATGACTGATCAGCCTTTTAAGTGGGTGACTTGGGCAAGCTGAGTCTTAAGAAAGTCCCTCACGTACAAAGAATTGCCCTAGTACGTTGGCTGAGTGACCACAAGAATCTGCCTTCCCTTACCTTCTCTTCCCCAACTTGAGCAGAAACCCCTCCACAATATTTCTGACAAGTAGGCGTCCTGCCTCTCTGTTTGGGAACCTCAGATGATGAGGAGCCCACTACCTTTTTAAGGAAATCCCCTCCACTTTTGGGTAGCTATCTGGCACTCTACCTTACCCAGGTGGCTTGTGAAGGAGAAAGAAGAAAGGGTAATACCCAAAGGCTGCCTGCTGCCTCACAACAGCCCTAGGCCTTGAGCCATCTCCCACAATAGCACCCCCAGGTCCAGGCAACTCTCTAACTCTGAGGTCCCCTCCCTATCTTGCTGGCTGTCCACCCCCACCCCCACATATACACTCCAGGTTCTTTAATGCCCAAGACATTTTCAGTCTGCTTTGTCTTTTTTTTTTTTGCTTTGTCTTTTTTGATATCAATCTTTTCTGTGCCCATAAACCCCATCAGCACCTACATATGCCACCCTCCCAACATGTCAATCCTTGTCAAGCCCTGCAGGCTCTTTGATGTAACTTTTTAATGTACCCATTTCTCTTTGCTCATTCTGTGCAAATCTATATGTCTGTCCTCCCTGAGGGAGTTCAGTGTGGACTGGAGGCCTTCTCCTAGTTTAGGTCTTTTTAAGTTTGTTTGTTTTTTTTTTTTTAGGCAGTTGGGGTTAAGTGACTTGCCCAGGGTCACACAGCTAGTAAGTGTCAAGTATTTGGTCTGAGGCTGGATTTGAACTCAGGTCCTCTTGACTTCAGGGCCATTGCTCTATCCACTGTGCCACCTAGCTGCCCCAGGTCTTTTTAAGTTTTGAGGCGCTCTGGACGATCTCATGGCTCTTTCTGCCTCTCCCCCCATGGCCTCCTTTTCTAGCAGACATCTCTCAGATGATAAAATAGTCAGTTGTGCAATAAACATTTGGTAAGAGCGATGGTGTCTACCTTGAAAGCAGACCAACCCCAATCAAGTCAGGGCTTGATTGTTCTGTTGATTGGATAGACTTAAGAAAGCCATGAAGATAATGTTCATAATGAAGATTAGAACTAAAAGTGTGTTGTGCATACTTTCTTTTGGAGAGCCAGTTGTTAAATATTTAACCAACACATTCCTGATTAAGAACCTACTATGTGTACTTACTATGGAAGGACTACACTGTGCCAAAAATTGAAGATACCAAGAAAGGCAATAGCCTGCTCTCAAGGAGCTTTCAGTTTAATGGGGGCAGATACCATGCGAATGACTCTGCTACAGACAGAATAAATTGGGGATTGTCACCAGCAGGAAGGCACTGGCTTTCAGGGCGATTGAGAAAGGCTTCTTGTAGAAGTGGGGATTTGAGCTGAGATTTGGGAGAAGCCAGGAGACTGAGAGGAGGAGGGAGAGCATTCCAGGCCCTGGGGGATGGCCAGAGAAAATGCCCTGAGTCAGAGAGAGAGAATCTGCCTTGGAGAGTCGCTGGGAGACTGGAAAAGCAGAAGGTTGGGGGTGGGGAGAATGAAGAGATTGTGTGTGTGTGTGTGTGTGTGTGTGTGTGTGTGTGAGAGAGAGAGAGAGAGAGAGAGAGAGAGAGAGAGAGAGAGAGAGAGATTGATGGTCAGACCTTCGACAGCTGAGTGGAAGCTGGGAGACCAACAAATAGCTTATTTCACCAGTGCAGGCTTGAGGGGATGAGGGCCTGCACCCAGGAGGGTCAATGTTAGAGGAAACAAGGGGGTGTATGTGAAAGATTTGCTGCAGGTAAACCAATAGACCCTGATGACAGATTGCATGTGGGAGATTAGAGAGAATCAGGAGTGACAAGGTTGAAAGAAGAGAAGGGAGGAGAGTGGGGTGGGGGGCCAGGAAGGGGCTGGGCCATGATTTGTTGTCAGCAGTAACAAACCTTGGTTGGGGCTCTTTGCTTCCATGGTTGGGGTGGAGTGCACCCCAATGGCCGCGGGGATTTTGATTGATTCAGTCAAAGGGCCACACTTGAGGACCTAGAGAGCCACATGTGGCCTCGAGGCCACGGGTTCCCCACCCTGGAAGAGAATGACCTGAAGACCAGCAGAGATCATTGAAAAGGCTCCATCTGTTTCCAAGGCCTTAGATTTGCTCCAGCAGAGACCTAGAACAGGAGGACATCATAGGTGATTCCAGGGAAGCCAGGCTGGGAGCCAAGTGTTTACTGGAAGCGTGGGGTGTCTTCTAAGCATGGCTCACCCCTGCCATTTTGGCCTGAAGCTACTGGCTGGCACCAAGCATGAGTTCAGTCTGCTCTGGGTGGCTGGAAGAACAGTTAGTCACTGACCCAGAAGCCCAGATGGGACCCAGGACTTTCTGCCACCATCACACATTTCCACCCGCAGCTTCCAGGTATCTGGAGTGAACACCACCAAGCCCACAGGACCTTGGCAGGTGGGGCCCTGATGGACAGGTTCTTCCTACATGCTAGGATGCGCAGACTCCCAGGGCCTGTTTCCCTTAACCCTGACATTCAGAGGCCGTGTCTGCTAAAGTGAAAAGCCCTGTCCCCTGCTATTTCTTTCTATACTCTCATCTCCATCGGCCTCCACTCTTCCCCTCCGCAGCCCCTACCTGCCTGGGCCCTCTTATCCCATAGTGTCAGCCTCACAGAGGTGTGGGGAGGGAAGGCACTCTAGCCAGGTGGGGGCCATTCCCCCAGCCCCCCAGCATGCTTTTTGGTCCTCCCAGGGGCCTGATCACTACCATTCTTTCCCTTTTGGAGCTTCAAGGAAGACTGTCCAGTGGGCTTGACCTGCCATTACCACCACCTGTTGCTACCAGACACTTTCCCCCTCTCTCCAGCTCACTGGCAGAGAGGATGGATGGAGCCTCCCAGCAACTCCCCTCCAACATTTTATGGGTGTTATCTGACTGGTTTCTTATTGGCTGTGGGTGGGCTTTCCTTGTGTTTTTCTTTCATTTCTTGTTGGAAATGTGCCTTCAGATCGATTTTAGAACTTGAAAGAGACTTAAACTAGTACATTTCCCTCATTTTACAGAAAAGGAGACTGAGGCCCAGAGAGTGGCGGTGATTGTTCAATATCCCTCAGGTTGTGAGTAGCAAATCTGAG